CGTGTTTCATTATGTTTTTGGATCTTAAGTTTGCAGTGTTTGGGCGACTGTTCTGCCTGTAAGGTTTTAATGACGTTTGTATTTTTTGGTCAAATCCATTTTCAAGTGTACACTTCCTTTTGCCCGGCAGTTTATTTTTTCATTTCAATGAGTACTTGGTGAGCAAGGGTACTATTACGCATGTTTTAGCAATTTACCAACGAATTCAAAAAGGGAAACAAAAAATGGTTTATGTTATACCGTACCGGATATGAAGAACGGACACCTTTATCACAAGATTACGTCAACTAAACTTAAGGAAGAGAATATATGGATGTCAACTTCTTTATTATGAGGAACACAACGTTTCGGAGTATATGCTTACTCCTTCATCAGGTGAGCATATACTCCGAAACGTTGTGTTCCTCATAATAATAAAGTTGACATACATATATTCTCTTCCTTGTGTGTATCACTTCTAAATGCCTTTTAAAGACCTGGTCATCTAAACTTGTTTATAATGAGATGCACATGCTGCCCCTAATATACGCGTTGACGTTTCAAACATGTAGTTTCTCAACTACCTGAGATGAGATGGTGTATCCTAGTGATATAAATGTTCGCTCGTCAAGCACCTGGATTCGAAACCCCACATAAGTACAATGCGTGAAGCCCTTTTTCCCTTATTTGGGCATGGTTGCAATATTGCTAAAAGACGCAAAATACATATTCACACACTCACTGGCGCAATTTCAGAATCGCCATTAGCTTCTATTAGAATGTCAATTACATCTATCAGCTCCATAGTTCCATGTGCATACTTGCAACACGTAGTTGTACCTGATCCCAATGGTCTAGGGTTTGAATCCAAGATACGCCTGATTTTGGATGCTTGGTTTGTCAGCACCTTCATCAAATGTCAAGGATCTGTATCACGTTACCCTGTATCATATTTCCCCTCCCATATACAGCTGACACGCCTTATTTACATTAATCATATTAATAAACCAAAATAAATATACAAACACTTAAGACCATCCACAAATGGATGGTTATGTGTTGCAATGTCCATCAGCCGTGAAAGATTAACTGTCGTTATTTAAAAAAATCGGATGTTCTTTTAACTTCTTAATGAGTAGTTGTCAAGCCGAGTTATGCTCGAGAGACATTTTAGTATAGTTTTCTCTATTGCTCAAGGATTGGTTGATGCTATCAAATGTTTACAGGAAATAAAAAAAACATGTTTATGATAAACGTATTTAGTATGACACAGAAAAGCATCGAGTAGACAGTTGTTTTTATCGTGAAGATATAAACACATCTGTTTTGAAGAACCGGGTTGTACGTAATCACCTCTCACCGTAGTGAGATGCCGGATAGCCAACTCGCACAACGGGTGTCACATGCAAATAAACACGCAGATAGATACGTTGTGAGAGTCCAACTCATCTTATAAGATCAACTTTCAATTATTAAACTTCATCATAAACATCGGAAAAACACCCTTAATAGCTACTGCTGTGCTCTGACGGTGGCAGTGGCATTAACCTGTATGAACAGTTCCCAAAGGTATCATCACACGTCGCAACACGAAAATGCAGTTAAAAAGACCCCATGATAAAGTCTTATCTGTTCCCGTTAACACTGAAGGATAAGGGAGTCAAATCAGCCCCCGTATATATCGTTCCCCAATGACAATAAAGGATAAGTCACATCATACTCCGATGAATCAGCAGGATAAGTGTGTCACATTGGTTCCTGACGCACTAAAGGATAAGTCATATTTTTCCATGATGATACAAAAAATTAGGAGAGTCATTTCGTTCCCTAAAGATTCTGAAGGAGAGAGAATCATGTCGTTCCTTAAAGATTATGAAGAAGAAGAGAATCCTATCTTACCAAAAGATTCTGAAGTAGGAGATATTCCCATCTTTCTTTAGGGATTCTGAAGGCGAAGAGGTCTGTCGTAAGCTGATTACATTGCATGATAAGAGAGTAATATAGGTCTCTGACGATACCGAAGAAGAATAAGAGAATCCTATCGTTCCCTTAAAATTCTGAAGATGAAGAGCGCCCTATCGACCCCTAAAGATTCTTAAGAAGCAGAGAGCCCTATCGTTCCCTGGTGATATATAGGTCCCTAACGATCCCTAATGAGAAGAGAGTCCTATCGTCCCATAACGATTCTGAAGAGGATGCGAGTTTTGTGAAAAAAGGAATGTCCGTGAAATTCCTTTAAAAACACTTATGCTTCAGATTGTTTGAAAAACGAAATTACACGAAACATACATTTTTGCAAATGTTTAAAAGTATTTAGGCTCATAATTTTAAATTATTTTTGTGTGGTGTTGCTATTGTAGATGAAAACGTATCCCTTCTACATACACAATACATGAAAACTGTGAAGTATAGGAAGGTCCTATCTATCCCGGACTAGAGGATAAGTCATATCGTTTCCCGGTGGCACTAGAGGATATTTCCTATAGTTTTCTGATGGCTCTAGAGGATAGGTCATATCGTTCGCTGAACACTCTGAAGTGTAAGAAGGTCCTATCCTTCCCTGATGGCACAAGAAGATAGTCCTATCTTTCTCTGATGGCACGAGAGGATAAGTAATATCGTTTCCTGTTGGCACAAGAAGATACACTCTATCTTTCCCTGATGGCACTAGAGGATAAGTCATATCGGGGTTTTTTGGCACTAAAAGATACGCCCTATCTTTCTCTGATGGCACTAGAGGATAAGTCATATCGTTAACTGTTGGCACAAAAAGATACGTCCCATCTTTCTCTGATGGCACGAGAGGATAAATCATATCGTTTCATCGTGGCACGAGAGGATAAGTCCGATTTTTCCCTGATGGCACAAGAAGATACGTCCTATCTTTCCCTGACGGCACTAGAAGATAAGTCATATCGTTTCCTGTTGGCACTAGAAGATACGTCCTATCTTTCCCTGATGGCACTTGAAGATACGTCCTATCTTTCCCTGATGGCACTTGAAGATACGTCCTATCTTTCCCTGATGTCACGAGAAGATACGTCCTATCTTTCCCTGATGTCACGAGAAGATACGTCCTATCTTTCCCTGATGTCACAAGAAGATACGTCCTATCTTTCCCTGATGACACGAGAGGATAAGTCATATCATTTCCTGAAAACTATGAAGTATAAGAATGCCCTATCGTTCCCTAAAGACATGAGAGGATACGTCCTATGGTTCCTTGACGGCACTAAAGCGTTAGTCCTGTCATTCTCTGAAGATTCTGCAGGATGAGAGCGTCCTATATTTCCCCGATGGCAGTATAGGATAAGTCCTATCGTTCCTACAAAAGACTTTGAGCGATATCTTAGTGTTATCGTTCCCAAATACTTTGATGAAAAAGAACGCCCTGTCGTTCCCTGACTGAACTAGAGGACACGTCATATTGTTCCCTGAAGGGACTAATGAATACGAAAGTCCTACCATCGCCCGATTACAAAGAAGGATTCCTTCCCCGACGACACCGTGAATAGAGATAAGAATATATGATGGAAACATGCTAAAATTAGGCTGGTGAAATACAAGACAGTGGACGTGTACCAAAACTGTAAGAACTGTGACTAGGTACGGGAACCCGAAAACAATGAGACCAGATGTGCTGCATACCGAGTCACAGCCACAGCAAAACACGAACCGTTCCCACCACCAATACTATGTGACATTCAACAACACATGCTCGTTGCCCCTGCAGCATAGGCGAAAACTGTTGATAACACGAGACGATGATGCGCTCTTCCTCGGAAGCTCGGTCCTCATATCAAGGTAAATATAGACAGGAATTTACTTTATTTTACTGGGGTATGTCTGGCAGTGCTTCGTTAGTCCGGCAACTCATCTCGGATGGTCATGAGTCCCGACGTTGTATATCCGAACCTTCCTCTACGCACTGAAAGGACAGTCCGAAGATACAGTTGACGCTACAACCAGTGACTTGGGTGCAGTTGTATTCAAGCGGTTAATTTATTTCCTAAATTTATGTACTAGTACTTAATATGGTTCATTGAGAGTTTGTGGTTATCTTTCGATCCCCCAAATCCGGGCATCTGTTTCTAGGAAAAGGGGAAAATGAAACAGAAGATATTTAACAATTTTGAATTTTGTTTCTATGTTAAATTGATCAAGTAATCCCCGAGCCCCATTAATAACACTACCCTCTCGGCTCCATAAACCCAGTTGTCCTTCACAAAACCAAGCAAATATTTCACTGTCAAGTGATTGATAGCTGTAGCTCATGTTGTTGTAATACATGCATGAGACGAAATACACACGGTAGAGATTTATTGTCGGAAACCGGAAATCTTCTTAAGTCCCTCTTTGATATACGAGGTACATATGTGAGACACATTACAAGCGAAATAAACACCTTCTGCTTGGAATACCCACTGATCTGACATTTCTAATAAAGTAGCAACATTAAAAGAGTAAGTCGTTATCAGTGTCTTTTATCAAGAATTGCTTTCGATATCTGTGTAAGAATGTGTTTATGACCAAAGCCATATGTTTTCCCGTTCTGTGCAGACCTATCAATACCTGCCAGCCGACAGCTTTCTCCTCACTTGTATGACCTTTGACATGGATGCCACTGAGTTTATACATTGTTGCCGTCGGCTTCTCAACATAATGGATGTGTATGCAGTGGTATATGTTAACGGAGTGAGTGTTTAATGTGCCCCTACTGACATACCATTGGAGAGCCAAGTGAAACAAGCTTTAACGATTAAAACATGAGGGGATCATCTTCCCAACATCGCTGGCTGGTTGTATTGTCATTTCCACGATACGTCTTTCTGAAGGGCTGTGTATTACCTGTACTAATTTGGTCGAGGGAACGTGTTAGAAAACTGATCGGATAATCAGCATCTGGCTTTCATACCACTCATCACAATACGTCACAAATAACCATAGCAATAGGTACCGCTGCAATACCACATCATGCTCCTCAAATGATTATGTTGAATAAAACGATATCCATAACTTACCTCTCATTTTCATGGGCTCATTCAGGTCCACGGTAATCTGACCCCTGAGCACTTCCCCTGCAAAGTAAACTCCTTTACTGTTGTCAAAGGTGATACTGAACACTTTAAGTTTGCCCATGTTGAGAGTAACGTTCCTTCTCTCATCACGTGCAGAGAGCACTGAGCCTGGCAGCAGAGACGCTCGCAAGCAGCATCCCCCTGTGTTGTCTACCTCCCGTACAAGGGTACTCTAGAAATAGTAGCCGCTCTACTTCTGACTTCTCCCCCCTGGCACATCAGCAGGACCAAGTCCTCAAAATGTGTCCTGATGCTTCTGGCAGGGGGAGATCACTCCCACTATTTCTCGTAATCATGTTCAAAACTGTTTATGATGCGAGATGTTAATGAGGTGCATGCATGGGAGAAACAAGTCAGGTTTGAAACCAGTGCTGTCCACGAGGGTACGAACATTGTTACTTTCCCAAAATTATTTATTTTTTAACGTGACCACATTTCCATTATTTTTGTGACCCGGTCTTTGTTTTTCTTCATTTCGTCTTAACGTTCAACAACGAACCAACAAGAACCAACTTTTTTTTTCTTTTTTTTTTCATTTTTAAACACTTAAATGATCCCTCCCCCCCCCCCCCCCCCCCCTCTGAAAGTATTTGTGTCGTTAATATAGTCCTCCTAACGGAGTTCTATTTGAATTTTTCTATATAACACGTTCGAATACGTAAAAAAATGAAATAAAAGACCTATCTCGTTCTGGAAAATCTCGTACGTGTGGCTTAAATAACAGGTAAAACCATTGTATAATTCCAGTATATTCCGTGAGTTGTTGTTGTGACCTAAGACGATGCTATTTGTCGCTGTCTGTTTTTAAACGGTCGGGCAATAGAATGTATACATACAATGGTGTGTTTTAGACCTTAAGTTTGTAGTGTTTTCAACCTAGTAACGTTGTGACAACGTTTGTAAGTTTTTGGTCAAATCTATTTTTCTGTCCGGCAGTTAATCTCTACTTATCTATGGTGAGCTACCTCCAATTCGACATTTGACATGACGACAAAACATTTACCATTCGTGCTGATGATAATGTTTTATAACTGAAAATTATTTAAAAAACCCTTTCATATACGTTCAACGGAACACGTACGGAAAACATTTTGTAAAAGTATCAATTCGTCTTGTTTATTATTTTGGGAAACATAACAGTCAATATTACGATCTCACTGTCAGCTGGGCCCGAACAAAGGTGATATATGAAACAACTGCTTTTGTTGTAGGTTGGAACCAGCCTGGGGAGACGGCGTTGATGGGTGTAACACTCCCAACCATATTCCACACCTGTTATAACTATGATTATACCTGGCAGTTTCCAAAAATACTCCCCACTCACAACCCCACTGCAGCGACACACAGGGAGACTTCATTCACGTTATGTAAGACTTGGAATGAATGTAACGATAACCCATTGATATTCCGCCTTGCCTGCAGGTCAGTGCATATACCTTTGATGCCGACCATGGCGCACAGTACCCCCCCAGGTCTAAACGCACCCCCGGGGACCTGTGATGGGGGTGGTGCATGTTCAAGCATTCCTGTTCTACAGGCATCACCTGCATATGTCCGAGGCCACATAACTCAGTGTATCAACTACATGTAAACATGAAGCGCAGGTATATACAATGTTACTCTCAACGTCGGGGTGTGCGGTGTACACCGTTAGCGTGTTTTGTGTCTCACTTTTTCCCACATGTTTTGTATCACACTTCACGTTTGATTTTGATCATGTTTCCCACGTGATTTGTAACACACTTCACGTTTGATTTTGATCATGTTTCCCACATGATTTGTAACACACTTCACGTTTGATTTTGATCATGTTTCCCACGTGATTTGTATCACACTTCACGTTTGATTTTGATCATGTTTCCCACGTGATTTGTAACACACTTCACGTTTGATTTTGATCATGTTTCCCACGTGATTTGTAACACACTTCACGTTTGATTTTGATCATGTTTCCCACGTGATTTGTAACACACTTCACGTTTGATTTTGATCATGTTTCCCACGTGATTTGTAACACACTTCACGTTTGATTTTGATCATGTTTCCCACATGATTTGTAACACACTTCACGTTTGATTTTCATCATGTTTCCCACGTGATTTGTAACACACTTCACGTTTGATTTTGATCATGTTTCCCACGTGATTTGTAACACACTTCACGTTTGATTTTGATCATGTTTCCCACGTGATTTGTAACACACTTCACGTTTGATTTTGATCATGTTTCCCACATGATTTGTAACACACTTCACGTTTGATTTTGATCATGTTTCCCACGTGATTTGTAACACACTTCACGTTTGATTTTGATCATGTTTTGTAATGGGTGCCACCGGAGGGGCAGGACGCTCATTGTTTGACAGTGATTCCAAAACACATGCCCATGATACAGTCGGAATCCTACACTGGTCTCTGCTTTTCTGCTTTTAGCAAGCATTGTTTATAATTATCGAAAGCGCTTTGTCGCTTTTATTGTAAAATAGTTTTTTTTTATGGACGTTAATGATCCGAACTACTTGCAATGAGATAATAAGTGTCTTTCACTTTGTGAACTTTTCAAAGTTAACAAGTAAACTGACATCAGTGGATAAACCCTTTAGAGTGGGTGGGTGGGTGGGGTGTGGTGGTGGGGGAAGGGGGGTGGGGGTGGAGGTGGGTGGAGGTGGGGGGGGGGGGGGGGGGGGGGGGGTTGGAGGGGGAGCTATGTTGCGCAAAAGTTTTTTTGTTTTTTGTTTAACGCCGCACTCAGCAATATTCCAGCTATATGACGGCGGTCTGTAGATAATCGAGTCTGGACCAGACAATCCAGTGATTGATATGAGCATCGATCCACGCAATTGGGATATGATTACATATATCAACAAAGTCAGCGAGCATGACCACCCGATCTCGTTAATCGCCTCATTTGACAAGCATAGTCACCTTTCAAGGCAAGCAAGGGTTGGTGGAGGCCTGTTCTACCCCGGATCTTCAGGGGTCGTTGCGCAAAAGGGATGGCCTTTTACATACGCTTGGATACTAATTGCTGAGGGAACGTCTTTATTTAGCTGGCGAACAATTACACGATTTGACCCCATCGGATGTATTGGGTTATAATAAGAAGCAAGGAAGTATGGGTTATATGTCCCTCGTAATTCCTCGTAGATCGTAATATTTTCTCTAAATTCATAACCCTATACATAGTGTGACGTCATACTGAATACGTCGATGATCGATAAAATTCCATGTAGCAGTTATCTGATTTAATAATAGGGACTTATCTGTACCAATATACAGACTAACGCCTTGTATGTAATCTAATAGTGCCACAGATGGTTCACACGTCCCCTTCCACGGCAATAGTTTTAAAGGTAATCATCAAGCGAATATATACCAAAGCCTGCTTAAACCCACCACGAGGGTTACATAACTGTGCTATTTGAGCGCACTGAGGTTTTCTACTGATAGTACATTTTGTGTGTGCTGATGCTTAAATCAGTCTGTGAAGTTAGTATTGTTGTCTTGTTTATTTATAAGAAATGACTTCAATATAATTTTGCGTTTATGTAGGTATCAACGTAAAAAAGCGGAGTGCACACTCTGTTAAATCCGCTTCGGATTTATACCTCCATAAACGCAAAATTATATTGAAGTCATTTCGGTTAAATACCACAAGCGTCCGGTGGAGAAAGGGAATTCCATTGTGCCGGATCTGGTCACGTGTTACTTGGGTCTTCCAGACTCCGGGTATCGCTCGATGGCTTCTCTAGATCTGATACTATTTATCCCGAGGCGACTGTACACGCCTACCGAGCCCTTCACGTCAGTGTAAGAATCCTATGGCGTAACTTAGACGTCAGTGAATTCCCCAGTTAAGATCATTTGTGATAACCCTTGAAGCACGTTTAAAGCATGATGTGAAAGTAATATTTACCTAATCTCCTATTTTGAAATAACTACACAAGTCGATTGCATCAGTTTGTCGTAGTGGTTGTCGACAGCAGGGAACGTCATTAAACTCGTGTTACAGAAATCGCAACTGGCAACGTCTTCTGAGTGTGTTAGATGGTAGTTGGTGTTTATGTGTTTATTTCTTGTATAACATATACATGAACAGGCAAATGTGATTGTCATATCAAACTATCACATATTACACTATCAAAATACGCGAGTCGTTAAAATGTGTTAGCCGGTAAGAGCTTGCCACGGTGGGAAATGTTATGAAAATATTACCTGGCATATGCTTGTTTGAAATGCAATGATGACTTCCACATCGGCAACCCTCATTTCTGATAATAAACAGTTTATGGCATAATGTGTCTGGTAATGTTAGATTAGCGACTCGTTAGGAATACGTTCTGGTCAGACACTTATACAAGTTTAGCGAGTGATGAATGATCTCTAATTTTTGCAGGGCTAAACAACCTTTCTGTTTGAGTAAGTGTGTGTTTGTTGTTAACGCCGCACTTACAAATATTCCAGGTATATGACGGCGGTCTGTAAATAATCGAGTCTGGACAAGACAATCCAGTGACTGACATCATGAGCATCGATCCACGCAATTTGGATACAATGACATGCATCAACCAAGTCAGCGAGCCTGATCACCCGATCCCGTTAGTCTCCTCTTACAAGCATAGTCTTTTACGGCAAGCATGGTAGCTGAAGACCTATTCTACCCGGTATCTTTACGGGTCGTTTGAGTAAGTGAGTGAGTTGGGATTTACGCAGTGTTCAGGCAATATTACGGCGGGGAACACCAGAATTGGGCTTCACACACTGTACCCATGTTGTCAATTGAACCCGGGCTTTCAGTGTGACAGGCGAACGCTTGAACTACCAACACCGGCTCTTGAACTAACTGATTTGGTGATCTGTTTAACAGACATAACACACTACTACACGTATATTGCTTCACGGACCTTTTGCAGTCGCCCAGCACTAAGCCTTCCAGTGAACCTGTGACCACAGATTCACCCCTCGATTTAGGAAAACAGTCAGTGCTTGCACGATATTTTGTGTAAGAAAACAAATCTACAATACACTTGGTACGGAAATGCTGTGTTTTTAAGCACGAGTGAATAATGTCAAAAGCTTCATTATAAGTTGTGCATAAATCTGCTTCCTTCTATTTGATGTTGTTTTGTCATTATTTCTTGTTGGGATTATCATCGTTGGGTGAAACGAATAAGGCCAAGTCTTCAAATAAACTTAGAGGCAAAAGAAAGAATACCTAG